CGGAATCCAAGAAGGGGACCATGCATATCCTGGAATTAAATATTCGGAGTACCTATATACTACACATGCTGGAGGGAGATGTAAACTACAGATTGAAAAGATAAGAGAATACATGATTGACTGAACGCAAAAGAATGAGAGTATGATGCTAAGGAAAGGCATTAATGGGAACTTGCACTTTCGTATTGCGAGAAGTTCTGGTACCATTTCGAAACGAAATGTCGTCTTCCCCTCCATCACTGAACCACGTTGAGTTCTGACTACGACTATCAGAATCAAGAGCCATGAACGGCTCGTCCTCGTGTTCATGAGGCAGCTCAAGAATCAAGCTCAATCTTTCTTTCTCCCGGCGCGTCAGGCTTTCCGCATCAAGAAACAGACCGGTGGGTTCCGATTCTACCAGATCAAGTTTTGGAACGGGTTTGCGTTTGATTTTGTGAGCTCTGCGAGAAGATTGAATAAGGAGGGAATCTCGCGCATTGGACAATCTAGTACGTGTATGGGAAGAAAATGCGGTCGAGAACTGAGAAGATGAATCATCCTCAACGGGTAATGGTGGGAGAGGTCTCCAGTGGATTGTCACCGTAGGACCAGAAGGTTGATCCCTAGAGTCCGCAGACTCTATTACATGTGTCTCTCCTTCGTTAGGGAATACCAAGTGGATTGGAATATTCTCTCCGAGCTTTTTTCGAATTCTGTCCATTTTCGCTAGGCGCAAGCTATTGTTTGAAGGGATGTGAAACGAAGGAGCAGCCAGAAAAGAATCTCGCTTGGTTTCGGGGCGAGTTGGTCGTATGGTGTGACGTAGATTTTCTGCGGTATCTACCCCATCATCGGATGAGGTAGGCGAAACGGTATGTTCCGCTGTTGTAGCGTCGAAGGAGGAGGATGTCATGGCGAGACGAAGAAGTGGTTTGACATCGCTGTTGAGTAAGATATCTTCGGTGCAAGTCGAGGAATCCGACAACGAAGATCGTGAAGTAGGGGAAGAAGTTCGAGACTGCTGGCGTGATGAGGATCGGCTACTCCATCTAGACCGAGTGCTCGAGCTCGAGCTGGATGATATGGAATCCACAGAACCTCGACGTTTCGGACGATAGAAGTCGTTGTCGTCTAACCACTCTGCGGATTCTGGAGGTGATGTTTAGTGAATGGCAGTGAAATCAAAGCGGATAAGGGCCTACCGGCGGGGGTATAATATGGATAAATATCAATAAGTTGAGGTGTAATACCAAGGACGCGTCCCAACTTTTTGGTTGAGCGCATGAGTTGTGTACGCTGCTGCGATGTGAGCGCGTTTGTTGTAGGTGGGGGTGATGGGAAGACAATCTTCGCAATGGCAGCCATGAATGGGGTTTGCTAAGCACAATGCAACGGATTAGCTTGCGCGCCAAGTACGAGGACACAAGACGAGGGGCATCCGCAGTGCGAATGAACTTCATATATACCCAGGAAACAAAAGAAAAGAAGTTGACCGTTATAGGCCGTGACCTGTCAATGTCTACATTGGGGCCTCGTTCCTTTATTGTTCTCTATCGTAGACAGTAAATAGTGACTCTTCAAGAGAACAAAAAGGAATTCAGTACTTTTTTCCCATGCCTAAGTCATTATCCAGGTGTAAATTGGGTGTAGGATTGAGGTATAAGGTCTAAATACCGCCTAGAAGCGTTAGCAGTTGGGCTTCGCTTCCAGTCAATCCAAGCCGAAAAAAAATTTGAGAATTCAACAGTTTCCTCAGTCTATATCATTATCATCATCGGCTTCGACCAGGGGTATTGCTTTGTTCGACCTTGATTCAGCAGTGCTGCTATAGAGCATAAATTAACAGAGAACATACATTTTCAAAACAGATACGTGGAGATGGGAAAGAAAATGAGTTGTATGTATTACAGGAACGATAGTAGCAAAGACAATTAAAGACAAAAGAACCTGTCCTTAAGCCCAAAAACATGTTCGGGCAATTACATTAATGCGCTACGTTCATAGTTGATTCACTATATGAAGAAACCTAATAATACATACATGAAGTGTACGAACTTCTGAGATTTTTAGTTAGTAAATAGGGTACGGTATATACGAACATATGAAGGAGCAGCCTTTCGATCTGCGCGATATTGGCGCATTTCCTCAACCGTAAGCCAACTTTTCCTACCAGTGTCCAAATCGATCTCATGTGCACGCCATGGCATGGTGCGTTTCCACAAGTAACCCCCAATCCAGAAGGCAAGAATAATAGGAGCGGCGAGGTATGCCTCGAAGAAGCTCTGTGCACGTTCATTACCATTTGATACTCCTCCGACGGGCCAGATAGCCTACACGCACGAGAAGATTAGCAAGGGTTTCCGTGGTTCATAGACGCAGCGACTTGATCAGGACTCACGACGTAAAATTGGGCAATGAGCACGATGACTACGAGAATAACTCCGAGCCATGAGCCCCATACACCTCCCATGGCCTTGAACGGAAGTTCCTCTGTCGAATGACCTTGGACTTTCCAAGCACGACGGAAACGGATGCTAGTTAGCTGTCAGCCAAAAAAATCCTTTGGGTAGTGAAAAACGTACTGGCATAAGCAGATAGCGCCCCAGGTGAATAAGACGGAAAGCCCGGAGATAGCTTGCAACCAGAGGACTGCATGATTACGAACCAATTAGAGGGACCGTGAAGGACATACTCAGGAATAACGACTCACAGACGGTATCACCCACGGCAACGACATTTACATACCCAATCGGAGCGAAGAGCAGCACAGCGATAACGGAGAACAGAGGCCGGGAAGACTTGTCAACGTAGGTGAAAATGCGGGGAGCATATCCAGTTTCTGCTAGGGCTGTGAGGGTTCGGGATCCGGCGTACACACAGGAAAGACCAATTGAAAGTACGGAAACACAGATCGTGGCATTGACGAGATCTATGGAAAAGAAAACACCGTCAGCGGGGCTGACAGAAAGGTTGGACCGTAGCTCGTACGGTTAAGTCCGGGAATCTTAGCATTGTCAAGGGTAATGACAAAGGGGGAGGCGGCTAGTGACGATGAAATTTATGAGGACGAGCTCAGATTTTGTCACAATCGAAGGGGCTCACCAGCTGAGGTTCCACCGAGCAGTCGCTCGTCGGTCCATGGAATGAGCAACCCGATGATAGTCAGCGATGTGACGTAGATCACAGTCTAGCAAACACTTCAGAATGGCAGTTATAAATCGCACGGCAACAAGAACGTACAATACGCCAGAAAGTTCCCTTCACAGCTCCAGGCATGGCTGCACGAGGATTGGGAGTTTCGCTAGCGGCAAGACCAACTAGTTCCGTTCCGGCTGAGATTTAGATGGTATTGAGGGAAATAGATTCACTGATGAAGATGTCGCTTACAGAAGGAGAAAGCAGCAGTGACAAAGACTGCGCAAACACCTTGAAATCCATTGGCAAAAGCGCCAGGATTCTGCCACAGAGAACCACCGATGTAATGGTCATATTCTCCACCGGTTGGTCCACCTCCACAAATACTGAAGGCAAAGGTCATATATTGTACCGGAATCGTTCAGGATATTCAGACCTACCAAATACTGGACAAATTATCGTCACAAAAAGAATGGCAGAGAAAAAATCGACTTACATTCCGATGAAAACGAACATGACCACAATTAACAGCTTTAGACATGATGACCAAAATTCTTCCTCTGCATAGCCAAGTGTTCCGAACAGGCATAGAATCACTGCGCGGAAAATTGTGGTCAATCCGGGCATGGATCGGAGAAGCTAGCGCTTTGTACTCACTGATTACAACCCAAAACACAGTAATCCACACAGCTATCGGAACTTTTTCCGTCCAATACTGAACAGTTGTTCCGGCCACTGTGATTTCTAGGGGTAAAACGACGGCCCATTGCAGGAAATAGTTCCAACCCATAGCAAAAGCGAAACCGGGGTCCAGGAACCTGTTCGCAAGCATGTAGAAACCTCCAGAAAGGGGGTAGAGAATGGACATTTCGCCGATAGCCTGAGGAGGAAGAAAAAAGAGATTCAGAATAGGACGGATGAGATGGGGTTGGTGATTATTTTGAGTTCCGAAACCTACCTGCGTAACGTTGACCAACATAACACCCATAATGATCCATCCAATCAAGATTGCAGCTGGCCCTCCGATTTTCAGTGCGGAACCGGATCCGACGAAAAGTCCTGTTCCGATACTTCCACCTGGCGAGAAAATCACGCGTTAAGAGAGGCCCTGGAAATTTCTATGATCGAGGGATAATAACACACCGACGGCGATCATAGTGAGATGCCGCTTTTTCATCTTGGCCTGAAGCATGGGAGTTTCGCTCTTGATTTTTTCTATTTCTGCCTCTGAGAGGTCTCCAGCCACCAGCCGGTCACTGAGAACAATGATAAAATGAAGAAGGCCAACATAGAGTATATCACATACCCAGTAACTCCTGGTGCTCGTTTAAAACTCTCGAAATTGACTCCAAGACGTGTCCATATTGATTCTTTAGAAGGATCGTAAAAATGATTGCCATTGTCGCCAACTTCGGAACGTGAACTTGAGGCATCATTAAACTTTTCTTTCCCGGGGTCCATGGCGGAGGGGAATAGAAGAAGGAAAGCGAGGAAGAGCAATTCTTCCCGGTCTATGACGACGGTTTGCTTTTATAGCTAACAGATGGTGTGCATATGCTTGAATAGGAGTGGTCTGTATGCACAGGTATATGTATCAATTTTCGAATGCCATGGAGCCGAGTGGAGCCCGTTAACATTAGTTTCCGAAAGAGGTGGAATACAACGGGTAGAATACAAAGTAGCGCCGACCCGTTTCGCCGACGCCAGGGTTTTCTTGGTCGCGAGCTTGGGTAACAGACATTGGAAAGAAAAAACCAAATTGAAATAGAAGTTCGACAACACATGACTTAATATGACAGAAAGAATCTGTACGCGGTTTCAGATACGAAAAAAATCATAAAACACTAAAATCATAAACACTACTAAAGCATCAACGATGTCAATGGACACTGGGAGAGTCGAACTCCCGACCTCACGCAGGAGCTTTGCGAAGCGTGCGCGCTACCAACTGTGCCAAGTGCCCGTAAGCGTGCAGCTCTGAGTGCATAATATAACCAGTCAACAAACACCTTATCAATCACGAGTCACAAGCGGGTCGTGAATGGGACCCCTACCTTGAACCGTTATGGACAAGAAAGTTGTATACCGCTTGCTGAACGACAATTTCATGAGTATCAAAAGTATCGACCAAATACATCTTGACTCAACCCGGTCCCACCGTTCCATCATCTCTGTCCCAACTTTGATCGCAGAAAAACACCAACTCCAGTTGAATTTAGCGCCGTTTCCGCTACAATCAGCAAGGGCTTTCAATGAATTCCAGAAAATACTTTACGCACAAAGGAAAGGCCTGTCAAAACCATTACGCATCTCAAGAAAAACATTGAAGATATGGCTTCTCGTGATGTTGACGTTGTCCTCTCTTTTGGAGAAGACGAAGCCGAACCTAGCCGGACGTTCGGATGAAGAAATGGATGAAGAGCACATCCCCTTCGGGTGATGGTAGACCATCTCATGAGTTAGGACTAAGGCAAATTAAGGTAAGGTAATACATAATTGATGAAGGTACAATCCTATTGAATGACCTCCCCCAGAATCATGTGTTTGAACTCAGACTACCAGGACATAAGGCTGTCATCTTGAGGCAGTCTTCGCGAAATTCGCCGGAGTACAATATACTGTCGGAGATACATTCACTCAAAGATGAGAGAAATCACAAATTCTCTGCCAGCCAATACATTGTCTTGCCATTAACAAAGTATATTGACCTCCTTCCAACTCCTACCCTTAGATTCTATTCTGAGTTCCTCCAATGTCTCACGTTATGTGTCAAGACTCAGTTTTGAGCTCGCTGATGGTGTGCAATTCCTGCATGACCATCACATTGTCCATCTCGATATCAAACCCGATAACCTTTTGCTAACGCCCTCCTGAAATTTCAATGCTTCTGTTCGCTTCAAGAATACGGACCAGAAAGGCTTGCCCCAATCCAGTGCAGTTCGAAATGCCAACTCTCGCTGTAACGACGTCATCTGCAGCGAAAATTAGCAAAAATCCCGTTCTATTACCCCAGTTCGGCTCTTGCAGCATGGGTACTGCCTATTAATCCTTTTCAAGTTCCTCATTCCTTCCATCAACATGTTATACGATTCCGTGAAAAATATCGGTGGCATCCAATCATCAGCCGAGTTCAAAAATGAGGAGACCCTGTCGGGCGTAGACCCGGTCTCTGGTGGCACGCAAGAGTCTAAAGAGGGTGTTTCCGCTGTATACGAAGCTAAAAGCCAACTGAGTATGTCCTACCTACGCTCTTTTTCGACTCGACTCTTAATCCTCGTTGCAGTCAATGAATATCTCCAAACCGAGCAAGTAGTCCAAGTGGTAATTCTTGACCGAGTGACAGGACTGAGCCCGGTTGATTTGCATAGGATCGGTTTTGGTCGCTACCAATGGCAACTTTTCGTACTCACCGGTCTGGGCTGGGCAGCAGATGGTCAGTGTATCGATGAATTTGCAGTAGTCGCAAGGTTTCCCACCGTCTTTTTTAGATATCTGGCTGCAAGGAGTCGCGATTATTCTTCCTCAAATCGAAAACGAGCTCAGACCAGTTCGCGTTGAGTATGCAACAATGGCGCTGTATGCAGGTCTTATATTAGGTGCAAGCACTTGGGGTGTGCTGGCAGACTTGATTGGGCGAAGGCTTTCATTCAACATCACTCTATTCATTGCTGGCGTATTCGGTATCGCTGCAGGTGGGGCGAATAATTTCACTACCCTTGCGGCGTTAATCGCCTGTCTGGGATTTGGAGTCGGCGGGAAGTAATTTTTTGTATTCCATTCTATTTTTCAGTACAGTTGGCTTATGCGAGATTTATGCGGGAATTCTAGCTTGCCTGTCGATGGTACCCTCGTTGGCATGCTTATTCCAAAGTGCTCCTGCTGACATGAATCTTTTAGGTGCCATTTTCCTCGAAAATATACCTCAATCCCACCAAGTACGCGATATTTGCTCATTTCCCTTCCAGAGAACTGATTCTTTCTTATGAAAAGTGGCTTCTTACTCTGTTGTCGGTTTGGTGGGCTTTAGGACAGCTTTTAGCTTCCTTGATCGCCTGGCCGCTGATAGGGAATTTTTCGTGTGCATCCGCGACGGATTGTACTAAAGCCGATAATATGGGATGGCGTTATAACTTGTGAGCTGCCAATTTACAACTCATTGCAGTCACATTAATTCAAACTGATCTTCCCGACTTCAGCTACACCTTGTGAGCAATAGTTTTCGTTCGTTGTCGTTCCATTTCACTGAACTTCGGCGTTGTAGAGGCGCTATCACTTTCCTGATGTGGTTCTTGCGCTACTTCGTTTTCAATTTGCAAGAGTCTCCTAAATATCTTTTGGCAAAGGGACGCGACGAAGACGCACTGAAGGTATCTACTGGGCCTGCCTTCGATCCTTTTATCCTATATAGATAAAATTCTATAGGTCTTGGAACATATCGCCCGCGTCAACGGCAAAGTACTCAGTCTCACACTTGATCAACTTCAAACCGTGTCCGGCGAGAAAAGGGCAACCGGGGTACCGATGTCCAACTTGCAAATTATCAAGCAGTCTTTCTCCTCCTTCACGCTGTACGTTTGCCTCTATCCAAGACTTTTTAAGAAGTTGACGGATGTGTATCAAGTTCTCATGTCAAGCCTTTATTTTCTACTCGTCGACTGGCCATCAATACTTCCATTACTATTGCTCTTTGGGGGTGCGTCTATCCTTTCCCTACCATTTCCTTTCATATTATGCATCGCCTACTTACTTCGAAGCACAGACTCATTGGTCTTGCATACCCTCTCTTCAACGGATTCATCACGTTGTACCTAACCACCCACATATCTGATGCCTCTTCGAGTGTTTCCACAACCTACCGCAACTATGTTATCATCTCAATTCTTGGCATACCAGGCTCGGTTATCGCTTGTCTTGTGGTTGATTGGTATCGGAAGGACCATTCAGAAAAATCGATGAGGGATGACCGTTCGGGGACGAGGTTCTTGATAGGCGGTCGGAAACTTACAATGGCGGTATCGACCGCACTTACGGGGATTTTTCTGTTCTTGTTCACTACGAGCACGAAGGAAGCCGACGTTTTAGCGTATTCGTGTGTGACCTCGCTAACACAGTACGTCGAACCTCCACTGTTCATATTCATTGCTTCTCAAAATTAATCGAACATTGCTTGTGGCTTAGGAATGCTGTACGTCTTATGATCTTCTAAGATGTACGTGTCGTTGTTTGTCTGTCTGATATATACCTCTATTTAGATGTACGGTGTACTGTACGCCTACACACCCGAAGTCTTCCCCGCCCCCCATCGAGGAACGGGTGATGCTCTTTGCTCTGCTTTTAACCGGATGACGGGTATATTGGCCCCTGCAATCAAAATCGTAACGACACCGGTTTCCGGTGGTGCATCACAGACTACTGCTAACGGGTAAGTTCAAGGTGCTTGACTGTTGTACTAGGCAGGATTCGATGTCGTACTGACCATATCCGAACCTCCTAGACCTATCTTTGTCGCCGCCTCGCTGTTCCTTGTTTCAGCGATTCTGATGATGTTGCTTCCCATCGAGGTGAGTCAGACTGAATTGTAACCTTTTCACTTGCTGATGTTCGAACACTCGAAGACTGCCGGTAAAGCCGCGCTTTGAAGCCATGCAGACTTCAAGAATTGGGTCTGATTTCTTGTCTTTTCTTGTACTGTCTATTTGTTGGGGCTTGCACCTCGATTGGACTCGACATACACAGTCAATATTAGAGCATTTGAATAAAAAATTGTTCGACAGATTGTGTTTTTCCTTGGTCTTTCCTCTGATCAGCTTCTGATGGGGCTTGGTGCATATTATCCGCAAGCCTCCACGGTCCGACGGGGCTGTGCAGAGATATATAAACGAGCGGTAGAAATTTTGATGCCCAAGACAGGCAGGCCTGATCCCCCAGCACAAGAATAATGGTCGTCAACATGAGCACATCGGGTTCCGCAGAGCGGATGTCTACACCACCGTCGAGACACCATGTGTTGTATATTGCTTTTTCGGAATTGTTGTTCTCCATAGTTTTCCTCGTCGTAGGGATTTTCCTTTTGTTTAGCTTGGGTGACTATCACTGCTCGCTGGTCCTGCGGTGAAAGCTTACGACGCTCTTTATTTGGCGATGCAGGTGAACAAATCTTGGATGTCGATGCGGTTGCGCTAGATCTACACATTTTTTCCTACTTCTTCTTGGGGCTCTCCACTACGTTAGGGTGCGTCGCTCGATCTCATTACAAACTCGGAGTACTAACGTCTTCCCTGCTTAGAATAAGCGGGGCTTTGTATAGATCTTGCCCTCTGGTCGCCATGTTCTGTTCCATGATAATGGCTCAACTCGTTTTCGGCATTGGGTCTGGTATTTACTGCCTTACAATACTATTCAGCGACCCAGGAGACATAATTAGCCGAGTTCTTCACCACAAGTGTCTCCATTTAGACCATTTCTCGAGCGCTTTCTGCGAGCGGACACCCCTGATGAAGTACTTGACCCTTGTCTTGTTCATACAGGCATGGTTAATCGAAATATGTATGAGCCACATTATGTCTTTGCAATAACATATAAGATGCTTACCCGTTTCTACAGTGGGTCTCTACTACGCTCAAGCTTACGTTCAGGAGCTTCTCGATGAGGAGACAGATGGAATGAAGGAAATTGATTATGAGTTCGATTACGACTATGCTTACTATGGCGAATGTTGACGTTACGGGCAATACACGCACGCTGGATTTTTTCTTCTGACGTTTGATCATGAAAACTCGAATCTTGAATTCCTCATCTTTGCAAGTCACGTTCCAAGAAGTTTCGTGTTCCAAACTCAGCATCTTCGAGCTGACTCTTTTGATCATCACGTTACGAAGTATGTAGTTTGTAGAGAACTGTTGAGCAGGGGTCGTATCCTGAATGGATACTGAGCAGCCATTGCGGCTGGAAGACAGCCGCAGT